AATATACATTTCAATGGGATAAGATCACAAGTTGTAATCATCTTTCTAGTTTTGCTATGCCAAGAGATCTTAGCTAAATTTTGAAAAAAGAAGAAGTGCTATTGTGAAATGGATGGTAACAATTTCAATTGTTTATGTGTACCTTGATCTGACCACTATTTTAATTTAATATTTAATATGAACCATAACCAATACAGTAGAGTCTTGCTTATCCAACATAAATGGGCCGGCAGAAAGTTGGATAAGCAAAAATGTTGGATAATAAGGAAGGATTAAGGAAAAGCCTATTAAATGTCAAATTACGTTATGCTTTTACAAATTAAGCATCAAAACATCATGTTTTACAACAAATCGACAGAAAAAGCAGTTCAATACACAGCAACATTATGTAGTATTACTGTATTTACGAATTTAGCACCAAAACATCACAATGCATTGAAACAGCTGTGGATCCAGGAGGGAGGCAGACTGCGTTGGATAATACAGAACGTTGGATGAGTGAAGGTTGGATAAGCGAGAATCTACTGTAATTGGATATTGCTTTTGCTGCCCTTATAACCATGTAAAGGTTGTTTCATCGCTTTGGAAACAGTCAGAAAGCTAGATGTAAGACACCTAAGGTTTAAAAACCTTCCCTTATTTTCTGAGACTCCAGGTCCCTCTCTAATTTTGGACAAGAAAAATGTGGGATTATGAGGTTTTTTTTTTAACCTTTTTTGCAGTTTTAAAAAATTGTATACAGAATCTCTGAATGTTGGAAAATTTCACAGCAGCAACAATAAACTTTTGCATAAGAGAACAATTTTGAGTTCGCAATTACTGGAGAACAAGCTTTTTATTCTCATGTAGGGGCAAAAAAAAAAAGAAGGTAACTAGCTGTTTTTGAGAGCGTGTCCCAGTTTTATTTATACTCCTATTCTGGACTGATTTATGTTTGTTACTCCTACATATATGGTCAGAATTCAAATTGTGCTATTTTTTCTTAGTCACATTTTTCTGCTTGTGTCTAATGTGACATAAAAGAAATTGTAGCCATAGCATATAAAAAAGACTATATATTATACTCATCTGAACACAAAACAGAAAGCATAATGCATCAAATATTTTGGGTTGTTATGTGTTCTCTGGGCTGTATGTCTATGTTCCAGAAGCATTCTCTCCTGACTTTTCACCTGCATCTATAGCAGGCATCCTCAGAAATTGTGAGGATACCTGCCACAGACCTTACAACCTCTGAGGATGTGTGGCTTAGATGAAGTTGAAACATCAGAAGAGAATGCTTCTGGAACATGGCCATACAGCTCAGAAAACACACAACAACCTAGGGATTTTGGCCATCAAAGCCTTTGACAATACATCAAATTATTTGCTAGTAAAACTATAATACTTAAAATTATTCTGAATTAAAACATCTCAAGACAGTAAGAAAAATCCTATAGGCACTGGCCGTCAGTCTACTTAAATCTCATAGAAGTAAATGGGATTTAAGTAATTTAATAGCAGCATGCAAAATTGCAACCTTAATGATGAGCAAAATCCAATCACTGTTAGAGGGAGACATAAGTATACTTAAGTCTTGGTTTTGATCAAGTCCTTTCAGTTACCGAAGCAAATCCTTGAAATCCCCTAATCTTTTGCTGTAAATAATCCTTGGTAACATAATTAAGTGCTGGAAAGAATTACATGAGTCAAATGACATCCAGGTAACTGAGCCTAGCTAATGATTTTTGAATTCCCTCTAGGATTTTAATGGTGATAATAGGACCAAACAGGATTGGCTTTGTTGATTAATATTAATTTGCTATTCTAAAATGGTAGGCACACTCAAGCTTTCAGTAACTGTATCGTAGTGTTTAAGATTTCACAGAATATATCAGTTTAAGGTTTGCAAACCACCACCGACACTAAAAGATTCTGTATCAATTTTGGAATTTATTAGTGAAATCTCAAGAAAACAAGTGCAAACATTCCCTCAAGAAACCAAGAATAGGGCTCACTTACATGAGCAATTCAAACATCTCTTATATTAGATGGCACAATTCTAGTAAAAATGCTAAATGAGAGAAGAAATCTGAATGATGCGGCAAGGATCTGTAGAGGCAAAGGTACCTGCTGACTTATGTTTTCACTGATGCTTTTTGACACAAACAGAAGAGACTGAGCTCAAGTTGTGGTCCTGAGAAACACCTGACCGCAATAGAAGGCAGGAAGCAAATAGTTTCTGCCTCGTTCTTCCTTTTTTAACCCAAGGGGCTTTGTTGAAAAATCTGCCAAAACAAACATCTCAGTCCTTTGTAAATGTGTTCTCTTCTGTACTCAGTTTTGGCAGCCGGCAGTACTTTACACAAAGACCCACCTGTCATTTCTGAACAAGTCTCACAAACTCATGTTTATTATTCTGTGCCAAACAAGACTCTAAAGGCATCAGCTCCTATTTTTCCTGAAGAGGAAGAGATCTGTTTACACATCATACTGTGATGGTGTCTGTGAGATGACAATAGCAATGAAAAATGGGATGTAGAGATAAGAAAGGTAAATATTCTTACATCTCATCTAGTGTAAAAGTAAAATACAAAGGAAAAAATGTTCCTCTTGAAATCATTACACAGCAGGAGCTTCAAGGGCTGTTTAAGAAAACCAACCAACCATACCTTGTTGGTACAAACACTAACATAAAAGTTGCCCTGGCTCCAGATAATTTGCCAATTATTTCACTGAGCTGATTCCATAAATGGTTTCCATAAAGAATTGAGACAAATATATATATAAGACAAGCATATTATAATAAATCTAAAGAGTAAAAGCAACTCTGGACCTTGATTTCTGAGATTAAAAGGAAATGATGCTTTTGTCTGATTTTTAACTGGCTGGTAATTGATCACGGGGTCTTGGTTTGGATCCTGACTTCAAAACATCTCCTTCCCCCTGCAGCTTCCATTATTGTTATGAATTATTAAATGAGCAAAAATGCCTATCGTAGTCAATTAAGGGCACATTTACTTTTTTTGATGCAAATTAATTTCGTTATACAGTGGAGGTTTCTGACAATTGTAACCTTTGTCATGATGAGTATAATAGAATAAAATGGCAGACATTTGAGAAGTAACTCAGTAATTTGATAATTCAGGTGAAGGAAACACACAGAGATGAATACACAAATGCGCGGGTAATAATTACAATGTGTTTCATATGACTTAGCAAGGAGAAAGAATACACAAGAGAAAGAAACAAATTACTCACATCATAGACAGACCAGAAAGACATTTGTGTAGAAATAAATTCTGTTATAATAAATGGATCACTCAAATTAAATAACAGCTCGATAAGGGTAACAGGGGTTGATAAGGGCAGCACGTATCTGAAGATATCTTCAGTTTCCCCTTGATTGAACCAAATGCCTCAGTAGTGGAAGGAACAGAAGTAGTGCCACCACTGCCAGCACTCTTTAGGCACTCTTAATGTGTGGGTTGTCCCTTTTTTTTGCAAGTAAACCATAATAGTAATTCCATACCCCTGGGATCTTGGGCAACTTTTTGGAAACATGAAATTTATATCTTTCATATCAGTTCTAAATACAGAATAGACGATACCTAACTTTTACACATGTGTTCCGATATGGCACAAGTATAGTTTTGCACACCATAAGAGCACTACTGTTAATCACCACTACCACCCGAGAGTAGAAGACATTTGCATGCATGAATCAAAGCCCAAAGTTATCTAGGCACATTTCTGCAAGTATGGCACATGTATAATGAGTATTTCAGATGCAATAAGATTTTTGTATATGTATTTTTGACACCAGAAATATCCTAAGAGAGCTATTGCTTTGTCAGACCTAAACACAGTCCTTATCTGTTAGGTTGCACATAAATCATAGATGTATAAGGCATTAATTATTATTTTAAGTACTTCATTTCACTTTAACACACTGAAGCTAGGCAGGAGGGATGGAATGGGAGGTAAGATAATTAGATGTAAAAACTGAGAACAGACAAAATGACTGAACAGAATTTTTTAAAAAATGTGACGTACCTGCAGATTGTGATTACCTTGACCATGAGATAAAAGCCCCTGTTGCAAATCTGGCAGAGCTCTATGTTTTCAGCAAGTTCCCCCTTTCCTTTTTAAAGTCACCTAAGGATGTATGATCTCACCGGAAAGAAGGGCGATCCCGCCCTCCTCCTGATTTTAACAGAACCATGATCTTTAAAACATCTCTTCATTTTCTCTATAGTAGCTCTGTTCTTTCTTGAGGCTATTGGATGGAGGCTTTTAAAATTTCTAAAGTAGCAAGAATGAATTGGAGCTTTAAAAGCATGTAGCGTAGCATCCTGCTACACTCTTATTAATTCACTTCACTAAACCTTTATAAATTGGAGAACTGAGTCAGCATTAGTTAGTTTCAAAGTTATACATTCCTCTTTTTTAAAAAATCAACTCATTACATTGTTACATACAGTACAACCCATGTATCCGCGGAGCCAATATACACAGTTTCACTTATCCACAGTTTCACTTATTCATTTGAGTATTTCTCCAAAAAATCTCCTGTACAAACCCTCTTCTCAGTATCTCCGTTGTTTGTCCCATTGAAAATAATAGGGTTTGCTATTATCCATAAGCTCATCTATCCACACAAAGTCCAGGAATGTATTCCCCACAGATATGGAAATCATATACAAATGGAAGCACACATAAAGCCACAGTGATTGGCTTGCTTGGAATTAATATTTATAATTTCTCAGATCAGCATGAAGTGTTGTCATTCTTATTCCATTTTTCCCTGGTGAAAATGGTTCCCATAGCACTGCATGCATGTTTGGGTAAGCACAGACACACACCCATACACACAAATGGAAGCACACATAAAGCTACTCAAGACATTGTGTTTTCGGATTGGACTGTTATCTTAAGAGAAATGTCGTGTGATGTAATGTGATGTGATGTGATGCAATGTGCTTACATACCCATGTACTTGTTGTGCATGTCTTACTCACCTGTTTGGCTAAGCTGGGATGTGCTTCTGCTTCTTCTAGAGACCATGGCAACCACTTTGGCACTAAGGCTTGATCGTCTTTTCTTCCCACCTGTTCCAAGTGTACCAACCGCCGTGTCTGATTGACTACCATCATTATGCTCCAGCTTATACACCTCTCCACTCACACTTGTGCTCTTTGTGATGATTCTCCCTGAAGTCCCCATCCGTCTGCCTTGCATTTTAGGAGTAAACGTACTATATTTACAAATAAAAACATACATGTACATTTAAATTATTCTTGTATTTAGAAAAGTCATAAAATCTAAAAACATCAGAGTAAAATAGTACACCCTTCCCACAAATTCTGGTAAATATACTTTCAAATTCTTATCAGACTTAACAATTACACTGTCTTATACCTCAGTACCAACATTTGGTATTGGAATCATATTCTTGATATTTTCTAATTTCTAGTTGAGATGAGCATCTCATTTCTTATTCTAACTCTGTTTTGTCTTCATTCACATGGATTTGTCTAGAAACGTACTGGGAATGGACTTGATTTTTGTCCAATTAAAGATGTCCTTCAAAATAGGGAATATTGCTATGCTATACTGATTACATTGGGCAACAGACACTTTTGGTGCCTCAGACCTGTTTCTGGGTATATTTGACCTGCTGGTTCCAACAATGGCACCAGTTTTCCCCTATCAGTTCTAGTTGTTGAGATCCAGAACATATGCCATATACCAGTTGTCATCTGCTACCCCATAGAAAACCATGATAACCATATCTAAGAAAGTAGAGCTGATGTGGCCTATTCAATGCAATTTTCTAAATCAACACCCCAAATTACCTCAGGAACAGGCCTAAAAACCAAGATACCAAGAATTCTTTTTTTAAAAGCATTTTATTTTCATTGTTCATGCATAACCAAAAACCACAAAATCCTTTTATGCAGGTTGACTATCAAGGACCAAAACCGTGCAATATAGTGTTTGTGCACTTATTAATTTCCACTTTGGAGGTATGCTGTTCAAAATAAGGATTATAGTAATACTTATTGCAGCAGGATAAAGATTCCTTATTAGTCTAAATCAGGAATTGGGAAATTACAGCTCTCAGCATCCACATGGCTCTCTCCTGCCCCACACAATTTATATGGGCAATCATATGATACCAAATGCCCATCCCCCGGCCAACTCTTCAGACCAATTGAGGTTTTAGGGCCCATTGCAGCCATTTAAGGGGTTAGAGTGGTTTAGACCTGTAATGCAACAGAATACAAACCAGAAGTAACATTTTCCAGGTTTGAAACATGGGCAGAAAGGGTTTGACAAGCTCTACAAAAAAAATAAAGTGCCCCGTGTTTGCCCTTGATGTAAATGTTTTTCATGCTAGACTCCATAAAGGAGAAATAATTAGTCATCTTTGCAAATTTTCCAAAAGAAAACAACATTAAGTTCTTATTAAATATATAAATATGCTGCTCTTCCTTTTTTTAAAAAAAAACATGATTAATAGCTTAGGCTTGCCCAACAGCTGGATGAGTGGGATCCAATATGGATGAACAGTATGGTCTGAAACCAAATGTTAGTTCATACTGGAGTATGGAAATCTGGTAAATCAACATTTACCTATATTCCACTAACAAATTAACAAATCAATTTAAACCTACATGTTTTTATGATTGCAGCCATATTGTGCAGTCCTATACAGGCGTATCCAAAAAATAAGTTATAATGGGGGCTATTGTCTAGGGAAATCAATATACGATCATAATTTGGTGGGCACAGTTTATTCTCTTTGGATTTCTCATCCATGATCCTAATAAATAAAGGCAGGCAGTTACATGAAAATCAACATTAAATAACATTTAACAGAATATGCATACCCTCCAATACTTCACAGATGAAAACTGGGACATTTGTGGTTAGGCAACATCAAAGTGTGGCCAATGCGACAAATATTATTAACAAAGAAGAAAGCACAAGTAGGAAAAATGGCAGCTTTATCTTGCAAAGTAAACTGAATACAAATTGATTTTCACTTTCACCCCAATCTGCTACAATTGAAGCATATTGAGGCCAAAGTGGGGGAATGGGAGGAAAGAGAAACTAAAGCCCCTTCTACACTGCCATGTAAAATCCAGATTATCTGTGTAGAACTGGATTATATGGCAGTGTAGACTCATATAATCCAGTTAAAAGCAGATAATGTAGCCAATCAGGATTATATGGCAGTGTAGAAGGGGCCTAAGAAGATCTAGATTTAGTTGTAAGCATTAGGGAGGGAGGGAGTGAAGTGGCTTGTTTTCTATCATTTCCAAGGTCTGACTCATACTTGAGATCTCCAATATTCCCCGATAGCTTTGGAAATTGGACATGGTGGTATCTTTCAGAAGGTGTATGTAACACATAAACATTATAATTGCAGAATTTTGGCTGGCTCAAAATAATGGAACACCCCCYCCCCCCCCCCCCCACACACACACATCATTTGAAGTAGTGGATTCCAAGTACAAGATTCTGACCACAGTTTGCAACCCCCCCCCCCCAAACAAAAACCCATAAGGGCTATACTGGAACTGTGAATATGAAACAGTCACAAGTGTGTAACTTCAGGGTGCAAATTTCTAACTGTGATGTAATATTATGGGCAATATTTACACAGAACACCACCCTCCCCCAACAATATTGCAATAAAGCTTCGAGAACCCCCAGTGGCCACTCAAGCAGCATATAATAGTGTGGTTTGAATAACAGAGTGAAATAGTGTGTATTAGTAATGGATTTAAATAATAAAAATACTTCCATATAAAGTAATGGAACAATTGTGATGGGACCTGATGATAAACATTAGCTTTTGCCTGCTTGTGAGTACTTCACATTGAAACTGTTAATTTGCATATACACCTTTTGTGTTCAGCAAAATTTAGAACCAGGTCTTGCTAAAAATTCCTTTTCTTCTTTGACTATTTAAATTCAGGGTGTAGTCCCACAGGACCTATTGGAACCTACTTCTGAGCAGACGTGCATAGGGTTGACTACAAACGGATGTGTGGCACAAATAACTATGAATGTCTGATGTTCCTTGTCTTCATTATTCTATTTAAATTCTCCTTTTTGGCAATGTGGAACAGATCCTTAGGGTGTTCAAATTTATCTATGGAAGGTTAAACAAGATGTACTCAAAGACGATGTCCTCGGTTTCAACTAGATATTTGATTAGAGAAATAAAACTACCAGTAAATAGTCAAAGTTAGTGGTTGCATTCCAATGTTGTTTGTTAAAAATTAAATCTTATTTGACCGATGTGTTCAAGTTTGTGTTTTTTTTAAAATAATAATAATCAGTTTCACATAACCATTAAAGAAAGAAGCTTGGATGTTACATTGATTTCATTTCTTCAATAAACAATAGAAGTTTACTCACTCCAGACATACTTTGAATGGGAGAGATCTAAATATATTATATTTTACTATTCTCTAAGTTTAATTGTGTTTTTGTTTTAATTGATTATTTTGCTTGTATGTTTTGTGGGTATCTTGACCCATAAGTAAGCCACCCCGAGTCCCTTCACGGAGATAGTGGTGGGGTATAAGAATAAAGTTGTTATTGTTATTAAACAAATGCTCAGCTTTCTACTGAAGTAAATCTAACTTCAAATGGAAGCCAGGCTGTTACAGACTCTATTACCCCTCTGCCAGCAGGCAAATGCTCAAAGTACCTTGTCAATCAATCGAAGTATTTGGTGTAGTAAATAGTGTGCATTTCACATAATAGGTTTCTGTGGAGGAGAATCCTGAAAATCATGTGAAAAATCATGAAGAAAAAAAATCACAATCTTGCTTAGCAGGGAAGAAACTTGTGAAATTAATTTATTTGCTTACTTTTAAAAAAGATATTCCATAGGCCACTGGGTGACAACTGAGATACAAATAAAAAAACAACACTTTTGTTCAAGTGCAACCCACATTTCTTTAAATAAGGCTTAGGTATCACCCCTGTAATATCTTGAAGTAAATAAATTTGCACAAATGTCATTGCTTTTGTGTTCATGTAAAAGTAGATAATGTAGAAGAAATTACGCTACTATATGCTGCTTTATCTGACTATGATTTTAGCTGCAATTCTTTATTTAGAGATCAAAACCAAGCTAAATAAAATGGAAATCTGAAGGAAATCCTTAGTCTACAAGCATGGAAAGGTTGTTTTCTCACAAATACCATTTTTAAAGTGAACTGGGAAGCCCTTAAATACAGAAGAAATAATAATTGCATTGGAGCATGATGAGTGTGTTTTTCTTCTGGAAGAGTTGACAGTCATCAATGGATAATCATGAACCAATTACAAGCCAAGCCTAAGATCCACCAACGTTTGGCCCTGGCTTGTAATGAATCCCATCCACCCCAACATTGGCATCTCCTCACTATCTTAGCTATCCCCTCTATCTTCTTTTCGAAAAGTCAATTGCTGCAGTGACAGAGAGATCTAAATGTGAATCTTCCATTCCAGAAATTTTGAGTGTTGCAATGGCAACATCCAGGTTGCTCCAGGTCCTAGGGCATTCAATCCTCCAGGGCACATGGCATCTTAGTGTGATTGTCAGGCCTGAAAACATGTGCCAGGGATTCTGTTATGAGTCTTTATTCCTGACATAAGAAGTCTTGAAATATGTATTTTGCCAGCATGTCAGTGCTCATAACAGGTACACAGATTATCTGGTAAGCTAAATTTCTGAAACTCTCTAGTGCCTTAGGATGTTTCCATTTAAAGGTGAAAAATGCCAGGGAGATTAACAAAGGCCCTTTGAACATTGAGCAGCAGTTTTAATTGGCAGGTATCTGAGAACCTCTATGGCCCAGAGGAAGTATGCGTGTGAGACCTCTCATACTGAGAACCATCCTCAACTTCTTTGCCTTTTGAACAATAGTCCCCTGATAGAAATGTTAATATCAGTGTTTGACAATTTTGGTGGACAGCTGAAGTCAGGAAAAACAGCTTTTTTTTAAAAAAAAAGTTATGGATGCTGACATTCAAGTTTTTTCACGATGTAAGACCACTTTGCCACTGCATTAAAGAAAATTTGAGAGAGCAGTGTAAGAACACTTTGGCTAAGCAGCACATTTAAAGTACTGAATATTCTTGTACTGTACTGTACTGTACTGCATTATACTAGAGAAAAAATACACTTAAAATCTGGTTCCTGCTTCCTGCAGAATTCTGGAGTTTGTAGTTTAATGAGGCTGTTAA